TACCCTTTCAATGCCATGTAATTGTGCAGAAGGGGCCCAATGCATAGTACTTCCTTGACATTTTATATTGGCCAGACAATTGGATTTTGTTTTAGATGATAAGTGCAGCTGCAGCGGATGTATCCCTCTCTTTTGTGTCGTCGTGTCGTGTCATACCTCAATTTAAAGGGGCAATGGAATATGTATCAGATGCTCTCTCTTATGTCCCTGAGGCTCTCTTTCGTGCCATCGTGCCGTGTGACAGTCATGCATGAAAGTGGCAGTGGAATATGTATCGGATGTATCCAATACAATGTCATATTATGTATTGGATACATCCGACACATATTCCACTGCCCCTTTCATGCATGATAAGACACGACGGCGAGAGAGAGAGAGAGAGAGAGAGAGAGAGAGAGAGAGAGAGAGAGAGAGAGAGAGAGAGAGAGAGAGAGAGAGAGACGTTAAACTTTCCAAGAGTTTAATATTATGTACTTTGTTGCGGATACATCCGCAACATATTCCTTGTTGTACGACAATACACAACAGTTACTGCATAAAAGAAAGATAGAGAGATGTGTTCCGTTAATTCACAACTCAGGCACCACATACAGATGTCCCATCCACATCTGCAACGACAGGCTGACTGGAGAGAGCAGATTCATAAAAGAACGCGTTTCCCTGAAGTTTGCGTAGTTTGTGCCGGATACATCCGCAACATGTTCCGCTTCCCCTGTCATATATGACACGCATAATGGCAAGAGAGAAAGAAAGAGACATGATCGATGGTTTCACAAATAAAAAACCCCAAATAACTTTCTCTCTCTCTCTCTCGCTCATGCCATTGTGGCTTGTCATGCAAGGAATGGAATACGCACACTAGTATGATTTTCTGTGAAACTTAAGTGAAACGTGCTTTTGTGTGAGTCTCTCGTGCTGTTGGGTCCTGTCATACACGAAAGGGGAAAAGCGCGTTTCCCTGAAATTTGCGTAGTTTGTGCCGGATACATCCGCAACATATTCCGCTTCCCCTGTCATATACGACGCGCATAATTGCAGGAGAGAAAGAAAGAGACGTGATCGATGGTTTCACAAATAAAAAACCCCAAATAACTTTTTTTTTTTTTTTTTTTCTCTCTCTGTCTCTCTGTCTCTCTCTCTCTCTCTCTCTCTCTCTCTCTCTCTCTCTCTCTCGCTCGTGCCATTGTGGCTTGTCATGCAAGGAATGGAATACGTACACTAGTATGATCTTCTGTGAAACTTAAGTGAAACGTTCTTTTGTGTGAGTCTCTCGTGCTGTTGTGTCCTGTCATACACGAAAGGGAAGAGCGCGTTTCCCTGAAATTTGCGTAGTTTGTGCCGGATACATCTGCAACATATTCCGCTTCCCCTGTCATATATGATATGCATAATGGCAGGAGAGAAAGAAAGAGACGTGATCGATGGTTTCACAAATCAAAAACCTCATATAACTCTCTCTCTCTCTCTCTCTCTCTCTCTCTCTCTCTCTCTCTCTCTCGTGCCATTGTGGAATACGTACACTAGTATGATCTTCTGTGAAACTTTAGTGAAACGTGCTCTTGTGTGAGTCTCTCGTGCTGTTGTGTCCTGTCATACACGAAAGGGAAAAAGTGCATCAACAGGCAGCCTGGAGAGAGCAAACTCACAGAAAAGGACGTTTCCCCAAAGAGAGAGAGAGAGAGAGAGGGAGAGAGAGAGAGAGAGAGAGAGAGAGAGAGAGAGAGAGAGAGAGAGAGAGAGAGAGAGAGAGAGAGAGAG